GTAATAGAAAGCATAAAGAAACACTTGGCATCCTGGCCAGCCGGGCATTCTATGGCATTCCGGTACCAAATCGATGACGCCGGCACAATCCTTTCTTCTTCCCCCGATCGAATCGGTAGTCGTAAACACAGACAAATCTCCTTCTGCCTACAAAATAGTGTTATCTGGGTCTTGTTTGTGTTGGGACTTTTAGGGACGAGGGTACACGTACGATAGCCCGAGACCGGGTGACCAGGATTATGATAGAGTCGTGAACAACGTTCACTTTCCGTAAAGAATATTTCCACCCTCAACAAGCCTAGGGTTACAGGAAATTTCTTCGTAGGATAAAACAATCACCACTTTAGGTTCCAGGCTTACGTACCTAAAGCATACTTAGAAGTTTAGTAGGAAGAAGAATCGATTTTTTGGTGTGTTTTTTCCACATTCCCACCACATATATTTATAGGATACGAAGGGTTACCATTGAAAAGCTGCAACCTTTCAATTTTGTGGCGGTTAGGAGAAAACCGTGAATGCCAAGGTTTTGGCCAAACCCATAATTTCATTTCAATGAAACGTTGCCATGAAAGTTCATGACCGTCCATGAAATATTATTTAGCCAAACAATGTGTTTCTTTATCCCAATTTCCAAACCGCAAGGATAAACATGAGTTTCTTGCCACTAAAAATGAAAACGTGCATTGTTTTTAGGTTAACAGCCAAGTTCCAACATTGCCATGCAACGTATACATTTATTCAAATTAAGTGGACATGGCTTTCCAAAAATCTTGGCATCACATCTTTCAGAAAACTGGAATTGATTTGTTGGTCTAATCCAAAATCGGTTTGATTTGGTTAAGTCCGATTTAATCAAATTTTCAACATTCCTCCCCCATTTTAGTGTATTTTAATAATTCACTAAAATTACAACATTCTTACAACAAAACTTAAGCATAAATGAAATGTCGTGACGATTGAATTTTCACCTTAGTATATTACACTTGAAAAATATTCGAATAGAAAGGGTGTCGGTAACGATTGAACCCATTGACTCATATGAATATTCGAAGATAATATACACTTAAGTTTTTAAAACTTCTAAGCGCCTTGAGACTATTATCCGCCATGTGTCCAATCCTTCTCATAAGCACACGAAACCAAAGTCTGGGTTTCTTGAAGCGGCTACACTTCATGCTTACGTAGGTTGAATCTCTTATTCATGTACCCGCATAATACACTTTTTCAAAGATTCAATTAAGAAGTTTTAAACTTCATCCTCCTCTCTCATGCAGGGTAACAAGCACATACCTCGGGATGACAAATTGCGTGCTTCAATTTCTGATAATAAGCTTTCCACATTGAATTCAGCCTCTAACGTTGTATTAGAGGGGAATTGGGTGTCCCATTACCCAAAATTATATGTACTTTAACCCATTCCTTTCACAGACTTGATCACCAAGTCACTAGTTAACCACTTCGTCAAATGATTAACCAAATTATTTCGAGTCTGGTCATACTGTCTAGACACAACACTATGAATGATGAGTTCACAGCTTTTACCGTGCCTTACTCCCACATGACCGTACTTGTCATTTTCACTTGACTACATGCCTTAGCCAAATTAGCATTACTATCACAAAAGATAGTAATAGGTGAGATTGGTTTAGAACATAAATATATATCATAAACCAAACCTTTCAACAATAATGCCTTTTCTCTAAGAGAAATCAAGGTCACACAAACTTTGATTCTATAGTGAAACTTAGTGATGCAAGTTTGCTTTCTAGAGGCCCAAAATATGGCACCTCTCCCAAGCAAGAGGACCCATCTCAATGTTGAAGAATCACCTTTAACATGAGAAATCCAACTAACATCAATAAATCCTTCCAAAATTAATGGAAAGCCACTATAAGTCAATACAGTGTGCCTTTGACATATCCTAGTACACTCCTCATTTCATTTCAAATGATGAGAACTGGGATTCATCACATACCAACTTAATTGTTCTATCGCATATGCGATATCTAGCATCATGCAAGTCATGCATACATCGAGCCCTCAATTTAACATGGAATACTCCAGTTGTAAAACTGATTTTCAGTATTAACCATAAGTTCCATACTTGGATCCATTGGGGTCTTGAACTCACTACAATTCCTACTATGGAATTTATGCAAGTACTTTCTCATGCAGAAAAATTGAGAGAATGACTCTTTCTTGTCGTTCCGCTTGATTCAATACACAGAATCACATTTGCCTGCCCCATATCCTACATGGAGAATTGAAATAACAAATTTTTATCAAAGTTCACTTATCTTTTATTGGTTCCAAAGATAAGCATGTCTTATACATAAAAATGTACGATGACTCCATTACCAGAATCATCATAAATTGTGTACACATTTTGTCTTCTTGGTTTAAAATAACATAAACCACTAGACAAAATCACTTATCTTTGATTGGTTCCAAAGATAAATATGTCATCTACATACAAACACAACGACTCTATTACCAGAATCATTAAACATTGTATATACAATTTTGTCTCTTTGGTTTAACATAAACCACTTGGACAAAACCACACCATCAAACCACTAGACATCCATATTTGTCTAGCACTTCGTAAACGTCGAATAGAGAATTAGACAAATTTACCATTGAGTATGTGACCTACCCAAAGGCAATTTTCATTCTTCTATTTCTCCATTTTACGAATCATTCTCCCTCTTCCTCATCTTTGGATCGTCCATCTTCCAAGTTACCTTCCGGATATGGAATACACCATGAGACTAGTACGAAGAACACCCATCTTCTACTACCATTGATGAAATAACCATCATCGAAAATTCTCATAATTCCATAGACCGGAACCGGTTTCTTGTAAAGAGAGGTTCGAGCCATCGTACCGGAAAATATTCTTTACGATTGTTAGGACTTTTAGGGACGAGGGTACACGTACGATAGCCCGAATCCGGGTGACCAGGATTATGATAGAGTCGTGAACAACGTTCACTTTCCGTAAAGATTATTTCCACCCTCAACAAGCCTAGGGTTACAGGAAATTTCTTCGTAGGATAAAACTATCACCACTTTAGGTTCCAGGCTTAAGTATCTAAAGCATACTTAGAAGTTTAGTACGAAGAAGAATCGATTTTTTGGTGTGTTTTTTCCACATTCCCACCACATATATTTATAGGATACGAAGGGTTACCATTGAAAAGCTGCAACCTTTCAATTTTTTGGCGGTTAGGAGAAAACCGTGAATGCCACATAATTTCATTTCAATGAAACGTTGCCATGAAAGTTCATGAGCGTCCATGAAATATTATTTAGCCAAATAATGTGTTTCTTTATCCCAATTTCCAAACCGCAAGGATAAACATGAGTTTCTTGCCACTAAAAATGAAAACGTGCATTGTTTTTAGGCTAACAGCTAAGTTCCAACATTGCCGTGCAACGTATACATTTATTCAAATTAAGTGGACATGGCTTTCCAAAAAGCTTGGCATCACATCTTTCAGAAAACTGGATTTGATTTGTTGGTCTAATCCAAAATCGGTTTGATTTGGTTAAGTCCGATTCAATCAAATTTCCAACAGTTTGTCGATTATAAGTTGTTATGTGAGATGAGAATGAATCACTTGCTGGTTGCATGACGAAATAATTCGCAAGAAAAATGAAAGAGAAAAACAGAGCTGAGAGGAGAGAGAGAGAGAGCCGAGGAGGGGAAGGAGGGAGAAGAAGATTTGTGGCTAGCGAGTAGCGACTGTGCGGTGGGTGAAAGGGGAAAAGATAAGCGAAGTTAAAAGAAAAAGAAAAAATGTAAAAGAAAAGGTAAAATAATTAATTTTTTCAACCAAAATAACTTTAGATATTCATTAGAGTTATATAATTATTAGTAAAATTAAAACTAAAAAACTCATCTTATTTGTACTCCATTGTCTATATATAGACAATAATCAATTTGCTATGTGTTATTATGGTAATAATTACTTATTAAATAGTTTATAAATAATATATTATAAATATAAAAATAATATATAATGACGCTCTCTTCACGCTCTCAATATTAAATTCTTGTACAATAAACGCTCTTACGCTCTCGCTCTCGCTCCACGAACTGGTTACCTAAGTTGAAGTCCCGTCATCAGAGCCCATCGCCGAAAACGGCAGGGGCAGAGACTACTATCTGTTTGGTCGACTGTATTTTACAGGTGGTGGAATCAGAGAGGAAAGGGAGGAAGAAGAAAACGCAGAAGTAGAGTTGGGGTGGGCTAAATTGTAATTTTATTTTTCTCGTTAAAATCTCTTGTTAATTCCCAAACAAGTTATTTGGGTAAAATCCCACAATCAAAATTCATGGGTTTTTAATCGAGAGATTTAGAGCTAAATCTCTCATTTTCACATTCCCTAATCCCAACCACCCCTTAGGGGTCATTTGGATCCAGGTTTTTAATTTGTGGGATTTTGGCTCAAATCACTGGTAACCTAGGTTTATAATTTGTGGAATTTGTGTGAAATTTTAAAATAGCTAACGACCATCAGCTATTTCATAATCCCACAATTGTGGGTTTCTGAAATCTCTAATATTTAAAATCTCTTATCTTATAATTGCTTTCGATTTTATAATTGCTTTCAAATCGAGTGATTTTAATTAAAATCCCACACTATGTGGGATTGTGCCCAAATCCCACATCCAAAACCTGCATCCAAATGACCCCTTAGTGTTTTTATCTCCTCATTTCATCCAATCCATTCTAGACCTTTGTTTTATGTCAGCCTTCTCTGATTCGATGACTTTCCTTTGATTTTGAACTTCTGTGGTTTGCGGCTTCCTTCTTAGCTTAGCCAACAGCTTCAAGCAAGCAACGACTTCTTTGAATTCTGGATCCTTGAACCATAACTTCATAAGGGCGCAGTCCTAAAATACCAACCCCACTTAATTAAAGAACCTTCCCTTCCTTTTGAGTCCAGATATAGGAAGGTGATCTGAACCTGACCATTCCACAATGTAACTTCGAAATCGGGATACTTAATTAGCCAAGCTTGATTTCCCACACATCTATCTAGTCTTTCCTCAATTGAATTCTCATTTTCCTTCCGTTTTCCTTGGTACCCTTCGAAACCACAATATTAGTGAAATACTCAAATAACACAACAAAATACCGAAATGCTCCCACAATTTCAAAAACATAATCAACCCGAAATAATAGTCTAAATAGTGAATAATACACAGAAAACCCATGTTTCTAACAGACTGACCCCTATACGCCTCCTAACCAAATTGGCCTAGCATTATAGAACTATTCCTCAGTATGTGGCCCAAAAGCTGCGGATTTCGACTGCAATCACATAAAATTGAACCTACAAAACCAAAAGCCAAAACCTGAGTGAGAAAAGTTCTATTGCGCAATGTTCCAAGTACAATAGGTTGCATAAAGGGGAATCTTCAAGTATTCTGGGCAAAGGACAGAGAAGAGACTTCAGTAGTTCATATATGAATGTAATTATGTAAACATGTGCTAGCGAAAAAAATCAATCTATCCCGACCATGCCAATAAGGCAATAACCATACATTTGGAAATAAACTTGTCCTTACGATCAGATCCTACCTTTTGCGGGGATCAGTTGCACCAACTCCTCAATAATTGCATTCTGAATCTAGTACTCATGCCTGAAAGGACTCATAGATGATCTTCACGGATGGATGTTGGAAGTATCTATTCAGACAACATCTTCACACCATTCAATCTCAACAAAACTTGGGATGGCAAAAAATAGACTTTGCATGCCAGATCATCCTTCCCAAAAAAAATAGAAGTGCGCAACTTCATCATCGCAAACACGCACCTGAGCTTCTCAGTTGCAGGAGCAACCATGATTAAAGTTTCAAATATCCACCATAAACTTTACGGAAAGATTCCTGCCAAGTCAAATGAGAGCAGGCTAAATTTAAGTAAGTGGTTAGAGTACTAGTGAAGCTCCTAGCAGATATCAAGTTAAGCTCACATCATTCTGAATGTCTTAGGAAGATCAAGCATTCATAATTTCCTAGACTACCATCACGACATTGCATACATATCTCACCAATCTTCAATCAGTAAAGCAATGAGCATGACAATATAAGTAGTAACAATTCCGGTGCGAACCTGAAGATCGGGAAGGACAATATTGTACACTTGTGAAATAAGTTTTGACTTCTCCCCGAGCCTGAAAAGAAAACAAGTTGCATGTATGATTGAAGGGAACTCAATGCATATTCATCACCATTTGGAAATGGAGGGACATTTATGCATTCTGCTTGTGCATATTCATGGGCATCACAAATTTACCTTCTGAGAAGCCGAAAGCAAACGTATATCTCTTCCATGTCTGATGCCAGGTTTACTTTAATGTACAGCTTAAGAAGGGTGCAAAGGTCGCAACTAGCTTCATCACCCCAAACATCATCTTCATTTAGAGGATACACACATTCAGAAATTAAATGAAGCAACAGAGGAGACAGATTTTTAGTTGGCCCCCATTTGTAGTACATCTCTGCTAGAGAGTTTAGTATCAGGCAATTGCTGATTCTAAACTTCTCAACCCATTTTGGCGGATGTCCAATCATCAGATCACTGTTTAAATCATTGGGGAGTGATGTGGATTCATTGTCGGTTGTGCTGACAACTGATGACTCTTCAGCGTTATCTGCATGAGCCTCAAAGACAGCATTTGATGGTGGCTCTCGATTCCTATGTGCAGGAAGCAGTCCTACCAAATCAACTCTCAACTCTTCAGGTAATCGGTGCAACACTGATGTATCAACCTGGCATAAAGACGACCACATCAAGTCAGCATTTTCAGGGCACCTTTTATGAACAGCCTCACCATCGGATCCATCTCGGAAACAAAAGAACATGCCTATAGATAGGATAACTGCTTTAACCTAAACAACAGTCGAGGGCTCAACTCATAGTACAACAAAATAATGGAGTACAACATATGGATATATGGAGAAATACTCTATATTCCTTTTCAGTTTACATAGGAATAGGGAACTGCCATTTGGCAACTTCAACCACCAAATGACAATCGATGAGATAATAAATAACTGAAATTTAATGAAGTGAGGCGCGTATCATGTAAAGGAAAACCATAGTGCTGACTTCTAAACTATATCTTTTTCATGACGCCGAAATACCAATACATAATTTAAGGATTTGGTTCGACTTCATTTCCTAGAGATCAATCCTTGTGATCTCGTGCTCGCTTTTGTACAGTTATTTTCGTTATTTATATTAATCGACATTATCAAAAAAAAAAAAAAAAAGAAGGGAAGCCACATTCAAAGGATCGCTACAAACCTACCAACGACAGCCTTCTTGCTCTAAACTAGAGATGAGATGCTTTAAAATGTACTAGAAATAGGAAATAAGGTAGCTGCTCAATGAATGGCTTCAGTTGGATAGCCAAGCCAGCACTTGCAGACAAACTGGAGACTTGTTCTGAATTATAATCAAACTAACTTATTAAATTAAGAGAAACCCAAATGTGAATATATAGTATATAGTACCTCTGCATCCACTAGTGAACTGCTCGGCGACACCATATTGGACATATCAACTCCTACAACATAGTCAGGTTCTCCTAAGAAAATAGTTAAGCGAGCACTCTGAACTAGCATTCCACCAAAAACATAACAGCTATGTAAAATAGGCTCACCTTCAGCATTTCCACAATCAGGAATGCATGACGAGTCACTGAAGCTTTCAGTTTTCCCCTTACATTTATTAATAAGAGGTATCAACTTCCCTCCATAAGTATCATTCAACTCTGAAAAGATTTGTGGCGGAAGATCCTCGACAACTCCAACATCAAGATCACATAAAGATGGCGAAGCAGAGACATCTTCACTTACACAAGGTTGATCATTGTTGTCCATTATACCAGAAGAGCCGATTTCTCCAGGAAATAATTGACGGGAAGTTCCTTCATTGCTATTAATGTCAGAATCTAAGTATGAAAGGAAAAAAGGATGAATGTTCATCAGCAAACAAGATAACTCTGCAGTATCATCCTCAACACACATCACAACAGCAAACAAACAAACTTCTGTGTCTTCGTGACAGCACTGAGCAATTTACAAATCATATGGATAAAATACAAACCTCTAGCACTTCGTTTGATAACATTAGTGGCACCCCTTTGTGCCACTTTAGTTGCTGAAGCAGAGAGGAGCCAGGATCTCAAAGAACTTCTTTCAAGCCCTTCAACACAAGAAAGTTGATGACCAATTGACGCTTAGAAACATGGAAAGGACTGTGAAACAAGTTTCGAAGTAAACTGCATGGAACCACCCAGAGCAACCTTGATTAGAAGCATCTGCATTTTCCAGCTTGGAAACTTGCAAGCCAACACCACGGATATCCCTGTCATCTGTGTAAAATTGATTCAAAAGGTTCAGTCTGAGCTCACCAGTTAAAACAGAGCATCAAATATATGCAAAGAGTGCCTCATCCTAGAGCAAATCAAAACCATCTCATTACTGATGCCAGTGACAAGTGGAAGGCTTCTCAAATACTTTCTCGGAGAGTTCTTTCAGAGGCCTCCAAAAACAATAACACATTTGATCAAAGGTCGACCTGACCCAGATACATTGAAGTGCCTCCGCATATCACACAGATAATCAGAGTGACTTCCGCGAAGAAGCATGATCTTAACCATGCAACAGCAATTCTGTGTCTAGTTTCCATTTTCTGAAAGACGTCCAGAAATAATAGTGTACTTGCAGCAAACCCTTGGGGGTCGACATCACCTATGAGGACATCCAGCAAAATAAATTTGATCTATACCAAAAACAATCAGTCACAGTCCCAACATCCTACGAGCATGAGAGCTAGCTGCAAGTTTATCTGTCCATTAAGCTGATTAGTTTCACAATTTATTCTAACCTTGTTTCACATGTCTAGCACAATTTTCCCTCACTACTCCAATAATTAAGATGCAATCTTAAATTGTCAGTGTAGGAAGAACCATAGATTGATGCAACACCTTTACCACTGAAAAGAACAACATGTAATTATATTGGGCTGACTTGCCTAGGTGGAAGCACCCAAAAAGCTGCTTTGTTATTCTTTGGAGCACTCCAATGTCATCAGTTGCAATCGGAATCTGGCGGCATATCACATCAGAAGTGTAAATACAGTTTTTAAGGGTAATACCATTGATATTTAAAGATAGTAACTAGAAGCATAGTCAGAAGCATATGCATTATAAAATGAAATACACTTGGTGTTGTAGGTCTCTTACTGTCATGGAGTGGCTCAAATTCTCACAGTCCCCACAGCCCATGTACTTAACTGGCTCCCCGGCATCTTTCCTTCTTCTCTTAATCTATTTAGATATATAAGAAATCAAGTTAATTTTCCATTCACTCATCGATATTCAGAGTAACACTGGCTGGGTAACAAAGATTAATTACAAATGTGGATCCTCCAAAACAATTCAGTGGATCCAAACAACTTGACACATGAAATGAAAGTTCGAAACATTGGAATAAAACAAAGTACCTTGAGAGTAAAAGTGCGTCCTCTCACTCCGCATCCCAACAAACGAAGTGAAACCTCCTTACAAAGATCCGCCAGAAAACGGTGACTCTGCAATAAGTATCAGTTAGATGTTTCTCCTTGCAAATATTGAAAACGCTGAAATTGATAGCTGGGGAGAGAGATGGTTGTATAGGGGTAGCTTAGTTGTAGGAATTGTCTTATTTTATTCAAGGGCTGGAGAGAGAGAAGCTTGCATAATGCAATGAATACCAACATCTTCCAAAGCCTTGAACCTGACGCCCCAATTTACTTCAGCACCAATAGACTTGCTTTCCTGCAAATAACAAATCATATATCTAGGCTGTCAGAGCCTGTCAGTCACAAATGTGCAGCACTGTGACAGAAAGCTGGTTCTCCTGTAGAAATATCAACGTCAACATAATAATTTAATGAATTATAGCTAATTCCAAACCTGAGTTACTCCAACCAACCGATTATCTAGCCCCCTACTATGATTCCACAGCATCTCTCCAGTTTTCGCTCCAAAGTCCCTTCTAAGAGTCTCCTAATTCCAATAAGTAACCAAAATTCAGATGCTGCAAATATATCTCGATCCATGATATAAACACTGAAGTATGCAGCCATGGACACATGCACCAAGTCCCCCGTCATAAATAAAAGAGCAACATAAAGCTTCAACGTAACTAGGATATTACTCGATAATTTGGTTCAACACCATGGAGACTGATGAGTTCACTGTAGAACACCATAACATCCGAAATAGCAACATATATTTGAACTCACCAAGATTTCCAACACAACAACTGTTCTTTGTTTTCACTTAAATATGAGTATCAGCCTCAGGTAGTTCATTGTTCTCATATTTTCCAGGTCACTGCACACAACTAAAGTGGAGATGCAGTACTACATCGATCAGCAAATAGCTTTGACACTAAGGCACTTAGCTATATTACTAAAGGTCGTTCATTTCATCCCTGCCTTTCAAGCTTTTTGCTCTAGTCGTCGTGTAAAAAAAGTCAATAATATGGCACCAGAACTGACTAAATGAACATTAGCATATGACAACAATTCAGAAAAAGAAAAAGCAACTGAACTCGTTCACATATCACAGCATTGCAAGGTTGTCAACCCGCGGGTCGACCCACTTTCACCCTGACCTGGTTAGAAAAACGGGCCGCACTTACTCGCCGGGTCAACCGCTACAAGGTATCAGGTTGGAGGTCAAATTGTGTCATTTTTTCCTTTGGTTTGCGAAATGCCCTATTTTTCCATTTTTCCTTTATCCTAACTCAATCTTTAGAATCCTTAGTTGAACATTTAAATATTGATGTTATATAAGTGTGTGTGAATTTTCACTATATGTTGGATCTAAGTACGACATGTTACTTTGGTGTAATGTTATATGTTATTACTCATATATTAGATGAGATTTGATATAATTTATCCGGATAAGTACAATATAATGACTCTTTCCATATTTCCGGGCTAAAACGGGTGACCCATTAACCCTTGACCCACTAGCTCAACCAGGTTCGAGTCAACCCGCGGGTTGACAACCTTGCAGCATTGTAAGAAATTATTTTTGTACTATTCAAATAGATATTAACTACTTGTGCTACTAGTGACCAGAGATCAAGTAGCAAGAGGCAAAGTTGTCATCCAGACAAGACTATGCAGCTCCACAAGAAGAATATAGGGTCAGCAGAAAGAGAGCAAAGCCTTCCTTATCACAAAAGACAGCAGATATCGAGAATAACCATTCAAGGCTAAGTGATGATAGCCACTCAAAGATTCCAAAACCGTCATAAAACTATTGGGGCTTCATACTAGCATTAGCATGACCTTGGAAATCATACGCAACTGTCCGCAAGTCTGGATATTATGTTTCTTTAATTTCTCCGCCAAGACATGTCCTATTCCCGGAAGAGCCTTGATTGGAAGTAGTTGTAAATGCTCTTCAACCTAAGATCATCAAACCATTAGAATACTCGGTTAATAAAGCGGATGATATAAGCTAACTTACTAGATTAGTAGAAACTTAACATTGTTTCCTTAAAAAGGAAGGCAGAACCTTAACAGCAACTCTATGATTTCATATTCTAGACCAAATTTTGGTAAAAGGGATTTTAAAACAAAAGTGAAAGCGACATTGCTACTTTAATATAGTATCACCATATCTGTACTGTGGTTACTTTGAGGTGACAGAATTTTCACTGAAACCCATGAACAGGGATCAAAACCATACAAACAGAAGAACACAAAGGAACTAAGGCAAACGCAATAATCGAGAAGATTCAATGTCAAAAAGAGAAGACTCAAAAGGTAAGAAAATCAATAAGATCATGACTTGAGAAGCGCTGCCGAGTATGGAAATTCGGACAGAAGACTGAGTACCCTCTCTTGTGGAATGCAGCATTGACCATTGGGTTTGGCAGCTCTTGTAGCTAATCGTGCCATAAGCATATTTCCAGCAATACCAGCACTTGCTGTGCAGCCAGTAGTCTCGAGGATCTCATTTCTTATCCTTGAAGCTAGGAACTCAGGGTCCAATCCCGTTGAAATTGTCACTTCCAAAAATGCTTCATCACAGCTTACCGCCTAAGTTTTTAACATATATTAGCATCAATAGAATGAAAAGCACAATCAAAATGCAGTCAGCCTATGAACTTCCATGAGCAGACCTGTACTTTGCTGCAGTGCTTATGCAAGATGTTGTAGAACTGATCAGCTACCTGCAAGTTCAACCAACTTAATAATCTGACTTTGATTAAGCAACCTACAGGAAAATTTCCCTTTTTCACTACATAAATAATTAATTACCTCTTCATAAGCTTGGAAGTTGTACGGGAAAATGATAAGGTGCGGACAACGAGCTTTTGCTGCTCTAACAAACATTCCAGCTTTCACACCTAACAAATGAAATGTGCATTGCCTATATAAAGCGAAAGTCCTAGACGAAGAATGATACAGGAGCTAAACATGGAGAGAAGTTAGTAAACGACAAACCAAAGCTCCGGGCAGGATAGTTTGCCGAGGATATTTCAGCAGTTCCTTTTGGATTGTCGGAGTGGCATATTGCTACAGGTTTATCTTGTAGCTCAGCGTGATTTCTGATGACAACAGAGACAAAGAAGCAGTCCTGTACAGCATATAAATCTTATTTACTGGTATCCCATAAGAAAATCAGAAGGAAAAACAAATCTGGGATTGCAAGACAAAGAAGTGAGATTATGCTCATGTGAAAAGTTGGAAGTATTTCTAGCCATGGTAGGCAAAAGACTTCAATATGTAACTATATACACAAAATCAAGAATAAAGAACTCAATATGAGGGGGCAGGTTCATTTGATGACACGAAGAAGAACAGCTGGCATCCGAGCACATAATAGACAGCTACTACATTATAGCAATAGTATAAGTTCGGCATAAATTTGAAACCACAATGTCCCAATTCCTACCTCATCTGAACTAAGAACACAGACATCTGCAAATAAGTTTTAATCACAGGTGTGCATTCCCCCCTCCTTCCCCAATCCCATCTCTTTCATAGCACTCCTCACCTTAAGGCTTCCATCTGTTTATATCACACCTATAACATACTGCTATTGGCTTAATTATCCAGATACAGAAAGGAAACAAATCACTTCTTTCTTTTCTCCCATTTGGACAAGTGCTAGCCTCTGGTTATTTTATCTACCATTGAAAGAAAAAAGACATGAAGACTGGATTGAACATCTGGCAAGATTACCTTACGGCTAAAAGATCAAACATAACTAAACAAAAGCAAAACATACCATATCAATATGGATAACAGCAGTCCTGTAAGAAGCATCTAGGACACAGCAGTTTGCATTTTGAGTTTTCAAATCATTGGATCTGCTACCATAACGCTTCCAATATCGACTTCTCCATGTTCCAATGAAGTGCAGCCTTGAACTCTGCACGTGCACAAGTCCAGATACATCGAAACAAGCTCCATATGTCAAATATCCTAACTCGTGTCTAAAAACTCAATGGAAGAGCATACAACGAGAGGAGATGCAAACATTGTTTACAATGTCAGCTGGTTCTCCTCGTGTTTATTGATTACCTTGAAATAATTCTCCACAAAATTGGGATCCCCAAGGGTTGAGTGGCATTGATTAAAGAGTCCAATAACACCTGAACTTGATGCAGTTGGATTTTTATTATCTGCACCATGCGTGCCAACTGAGCCATGGAGTTTTTCAGGGGTAAGCTGCAATCTGCTGGCTAGAGTTGTTTCACATTCTGTGTCAGAATTACCAGGTACTTCCATCCTTACATCCGAGGATTTGCTACCAGTTGGTTCCTCAATATCACAATTCTGGCTACCATTTTGTGGATTCCCATTGCTGGTAACACTTATGCAGTCAAGCATATCAGAAAATTCGTCATTCATTCCTGTACCAACTTGCCTAGATGAGTCCGCATTCACATGACGATCTCTAACTATCAAAGCATCTTGCTCAGTAACAACCAGTGATTCATGTAATTCAGGAAGATCTACATAATTTGATGCACCTCCTTTGAAAGATCTATCCATGTTCAACTGACGACCAGCAACTTCCAAAGTATCTTGAACCATTGAGCTGCGTTTAGAGGAAAAGAAAGCTGAAACCGGAGGTTGGTTGCCGCAAAGCTGATCAAGTTGATAAGGAACCCCTGTAGCATAACAAATAACACAATTAAGACTGACATTAAAAAAGTTACACATAAAGGATGAGCAAACACGATTCCTCTCTGAACACCAGCCCCCCAAGGAATCAACTCGATTCCGCTCCTACAGAGTTGCATGTAGGTGTAAAGTTATTACGTCAGACAAATTCATATGATCAGGCTCTGGTCAATTATATAGAATTCAGATTATAGTATTTGGATCTAAACTTGAAGCATGATTTATGTCGGATAACTGATCCATCTACAATTTGGTATCGCAAAATAAAAATCCCCAAGCCTATCACTTTCAACCCAAAGTGGCATTAACTTACAATCCAAGAGCCGATTGGCAAACACGGAATCCAAAATCCATGCAGGTTTGACCACTGGCAATCCCGCACTGAAGGACCTGAATTTCATTAACCAACAATACAAATGAAACAATCTTCCAGTAGAGACAAAGAGCAACTCCAGAGAATAAAATTTAATCAACAATGTAAACCTCAGATTCTTCCTTTTAGAGTCGGGCAGATTGCTGCAGATGATATGGGTAACTCGACTCCTGGAAAAGTAATTCTCAAATCTTCCTCCATACATCAACATGTAGCTCCGCAGTTCCTGAAGAAGACAGTTGTTTATCTCATCCTATACTGAGAAGATTGACATTATTTGAAAGTAAGATAAGTTTTCTGTTTCAGTTATCAGAGAGGCTAGATTCTCCCAGCATCCAAATATAGAAGTAACAATAGATTACAGACGCCCAAAAAATCACCTGATTTGACGGAATGGTGAATCCATCAATGAATATAGAAACCCCATGAAAAAGGGGGGTTTTGGAACTCGAATCTGAAGAATTAGAAGCTTCAGCATCGAATTGTTGGCGAAGTTTCCGCGTCTTCTCCAACATATAACTTCATCAAAATTCCAAATACGTCATCAATACAACTCTCAGCACAAAGTCACCTCACAACCACCATAACAAGAGCCACGTAATTCACATATAATTGGCCACTTGACAATATAAGAAGTCCCAAAGAGGAACTCTGACCAATTAGAATTTCTAAAATCCAAATTGCAAGAATTTGCAGCTTATTCTGAAAGACACAAGCAGCACCTAACAAAGAGTATCATTAAATTCCCGATGAATACAGTAATCACGACCAACCTCCCAAAGTCGGAGAACGGGGAACTGCGGGAAGAGGAGCGAGAGGAGGAGACAGAATTGGCGCCCCAAGCCATTCCTAGGGCTTTCTCCTTGCTATTGGTTTTGCTCCTCTTAGAATTGCTGCTGCTAGAACTTTTGGAAGCGGGTGAATCGGCGAGGCTTCTCTTTGATGAATCGCCACCCGAACGAGCGGAATCTAAACTCATTACTCTCATCTTTCAGTTGATCAAGGAGTCGACGGATGCGGAGTGAAACAGTGCCTAAGAAGAAAAAAAATAAAGGCTTAACACCCCTCCAGAGCAATAACTTTACAGATTACCAGCAACTGGGCCCGGCCGGGGGAGTTAGCTGTTTTTATAGGTGTC